CACGATGAAAAAGAGTGTTTCACACAAATAAGGAAGCAAATTCCGCCTAGCAAAGGGCAATCTCCCGAAGACCTTGGCGGATAATTTCATTCCAAAAACCCCAAAAGCCTAATCCTGAGAAACAGATGCTCGACTACAAATAGGCACTCCCTATTCAAGTTAAAGGACTTTTGAATCTCCAATTATTCAGCACCCTTGTCATATCACCTGCTTGGCTCAGAACCGACATTTTTCTGATCTACCCGACCAACCCCATTACATTATTGACTTAAGTGTCAGAGTGCCTACCCAGGGATCAACTCCTCAGGCCTCTGACTCTTTCTGTGATAGCAGATCTCTTCGGTGTACAACTTTGTCCTCCCACAAATTTCTCAAAATTGAATAGGATGGCGGCGTTGTAATAGAAGATGGCCAAGTACTACGATGCCAAGGTTCACCGCAGGAAGATCAAGACAGGTGACCTTGTCCTCCGCAAAGTCATCGTGCTTGAGCCTAGAGGGGGAAAGCTTGGTCTAAACTGGGAAGGCCCATATAGAGTGACTAGGGTACTCAGACTGAGCTCGTATAAGCTGGAGGACCTCGATGGAACACTCGTACCAAGGATCTTGAATGCCAGGAGCATAAGAATGTATTATCAGTGATTTGTGCCATCAAACTCTTGTACAAATGCTCAAGAATAAATAAATGATCCCTTTTTTTACCACAAGTGTGTAAACACTGCACACAAYGCCTAGATGAACTCTAACAGCTGAGGACCTCGGTACACCACCGCACACATTTGCAGATTGAACTTTAACGGTCGATGAAACAAGAGCGCTATACGTACACAAGCATGCCATGTGACAACCGAATTAAGCTTGAACTAATTTTGATCGACCTAAAATGGCCAAGGCCCCACGCCAAACCAGCCCAATTGAGCTCAATAGGAACGACGTCCTTGTCGGAGAGGGTGGCAATCAAACTTTTTAAAACCATCTAGCCCAAAGCCAGAGTAGAGCTAGCCAAGCATCCTGACTAGCCTCTTCAAGGAGCATGAGCTCCGTAGGACCGAGCACCATGAAGCCCCTCTGAATG